CCCCCAGGTCCCTCTGCTTTCTCATTGCACTTTGTGCAACTTTAACTGAATAACTATGTGCTTAGAGTCGGTTTCCAACTGTAAGCTTCAAGGGAAAGTAAACTCTTAAGACGTTCTCTCCAGCACATTGCCTGGCCCTCAGTAAATACTGGTTGAATGCTTTATCTACCCGGTTGCAGAGCTAAAACTAGAACACAGACCCATTAACTAGTACAGTTTTGTTTTCTCAAACCATGAGGGAGTCTGTCACGTAAGATGATGCCCCACACTCCAGACTTCCTCTCCCTCTTCTCAGTGATTAAGTACCTCAGTCTTGTGTGTTCTGTTCAGGGGCCTATTAAAGCCAATCTGGTGAACTAAAATCCTGGGTTAGGGATTACTCTTCCTCCCGAGAATATATGCAGTTTAACTGGGAACTCCCAGATGACAGAAAGTAATCCCAAAGGAACTAATCAAAATTTCAGGCACCATGAAGATATCATTGGAGGGAATTTTCACTATCATGCCTTAAGGGTATTATAGGAAGGGGATTTACAATGTACTAGACTTGCTTTAATGTGTTTTTTAAAAAACTTTATCTTCACAACAAGCCTTTTAAGGAGGTATTATTCCCTTTATCAACTGAGGCAATCTCTGAAAGGTTTAGTAATTTACCTAATGTTGCAAATCTGGTGGGGAAGCCAGTATTTAGTCCCTCCTCCTCCCAGGGTATGACTGACTCCTGGTCAATCCTCTCCTTACTATACCATGCTGCTGCTTTCAAGGGTAAGTGTTGGCAACCACTTAGAGTTTATACATAAATCTGGGCCATGAGGTTTACTGGCTGAGTATCTTTAAAAGAGGGTTACTAGGTTTCTTTTATTCCCTTGGTGGGAGCTATACTCTATGACTTGACATTTTATTGTCTTTTCCAGAACTCAATCACATGTGGTGACTGACCTTCTTTACTCCAACTGTAAGTGCAATTATGGGCACACAAAAAATGAATTGAGCACTCAGAGCATACTTATGATGCAAAATCCAGTATGTCATTTATTTTACTACTGAGTCCACCAAAGCCTCCTGTATCCAGGGAGTGGATGGTATCAGGTTGACACTTAATAGTGCATTATTTATCTGTTTGCTACTATTTGCAATACCAAAAGCTATTAGGAGATGGGTTGTCCTAGGATCAAATATCCCTGCATAAGTTGGTTTTGCCTCTGATTAAAAATGCTTTTGCCCATCCTTCGAACCCTCTGGATTCTGGTTCTTGAATACAGAGTTTCTTTTGGGAGCAGAGGAACACTATTATGTTCTTCTTGGTATGAGATGTACCTATTTAATAGCTTTGTTAACTTGAACACAGTACTTAACTTCTCTGTTTCCCCAGTTGTAAAATGGAGAGACTGTTAGTTATTTTGAAGATGGTGTAAGCCTTTCAGAAGGCTTTTAAAGCAATTAACAACAAAAGCTAACACAGAGCAGGTATTTAAATAGCTTTAATTTTCTTTCTTCCTCAGATAAGGACATTTTTTTAATTGATTTTAGAGTGAGAGGAAGGGGAGGGAGGGAGACACAGAGAGAGAGAGAGAAAACCGTTGTTTCACTTATCCATGCACTCACGGGTTGACTCCTGCATGTGCCCCCACCAGATCTAACCAGCAACCTTGGCTTAGCTGGGATGAGGTTCCAACCAACTGTGCTACCTGCCCAGGGCAGGACATTTTCTTTTTAAGTCCATAGACTTAATATATTCTCTGGACTTGTTGAAAAGTACATGAAAAATTTTGTGTAGATGTGTAAGGTGTGTCTTCCTTGGAAATAAAGGCCACAGTATAACAGATTATTACGGGGGCCAGTGACTATCCTAAAAAATTGTAGATTCCCCTCCCTGCAATGCCAAAGGGCGACTATCTTTTGAGGGGATTAAATTTTAATGGATGTTTTTGTTCTCTGGGCTTTTTTTTTTTTTCCTTCCCCGGTCTGCTAACAGAGGATAGCCGGGCCCTTGGGGATGGGATGTCTTTCTGAGGCAGGGGCCCCAGGAAGTTTCCTCGGGGGCACTGTGACCCTCTTCGGGTTCCTTCCCAGATGGGGGTGGGGTGCCATCTGCAGCTGACAAGCAGGTTTATTTTAAGGTCTCTCAGGCTTCAGGGGTCTCTTCCTCACTGAAAAGACAAGTTTTTGTGGGGTTTCTCAAGCTAAAGTTACTCTCTCCTGGAGTTAGTTAAAAACCTCGTGGTACGACCCTGCGGTCCCCACCCTCCTAGGCCCCAACCCTGAGGCAGTGGGGGAGGGGAGGCCGCGCGCGCGCCGCTTCCGCTCCTCCAGCCCACCAGAGGGCGCTGCGGCCCCGCCTCGTCCTTTTCGAGGCGCTTCGCGCCGGGCCCCTTCCGCGTGGGCGAGTGAATGTGAGAGTCAGCGTCGCGCCGCTCTCGCCGTCCGCCTCCGCCGCTCAGCGCCCTTACTTCGGCTGCAAGGGGCGGGCGCGCGCGTAAAAGGCATAGAGACGGGCGTTGAGCTCTCGGGCTAGAGCGTCGCCGAGTCGGAGCCGGAGCCCGAGCCGCGCGCTGTGTCTCCGCTGCGTCCGCCGAGGCCCCCGAGTGTCAGGGACAAAAGCCGCCGCCGCGCCGCCTGCTCCTGCCGCCGGGGCTCATCCGCCGCCGCTGACGCTCTGAGGAGAGTCCGCCGCCGTCGCCACTCGTGAGGATCCGAGAGCCATGTCGGCCAGCAGCCTTTTGGAGCAGGTACAGGCCCGGCCCGCATGCCTCGGCCATTGTGTGAGGCGAGAGGGAGCCCGACTAGGCCCGGGCCCGCCACCCCCGGTCGGGCCGAGCCGAGGCGGCGCCTCTCGCGGGACGGGTTTCGGGCCTCTCAGGCCGGCCGCGCCCTGCGCCTCACTCTCAGCCCGCTCTTCCCGCTTCTCCCCGGTCCTCGGCGCCCAACGCCCGCTCCGCCTTTTCTCCTCAGCAGGCCTCGTTTTTCTTCCTAGTTCCCTTTGCCTTCCTTGAAGCTCGGGTCCCGTCGCTTTGCTTCTGGCGCGTCCCCCGCTTTCTCTCCGCGGGCCTCGCCGGCCTAGCGCTTTTCCCCGCCTCCCCCTCACCACCATTCCTGACGCCTACCCTCAGGCCTGCTCCTTTATTCCTTTCTCGGGCTCGGCTTTAATTGGTCTTCCCTTTTCCATTTCTTCCTCGGACAACTTGCTGCTCGGCGACGTTTCCTTCGCTCGCAGAGACCAAAAGGTCAAGGAAACAAAGGTGAGCCCAGTTCCGCCGGTGGCCCTGGGAGGGGGACGCCGAGTAGTGGGGGCGGGGTCTCCGGGAAGCGCCCCAGGGCGAGGATCTTTCGGAAGCCCTTAGGTTCGCAGGTGCCTCACACTTAAGTATTTGACCCTTTCGGTGTGTTCTTGCTTCTGGCGAACAGCTTTTTAGCATACAAGGAATAATTCTTTAAGGGTGGGGGTGGATTTGGTTTGAAATGTCTCAGGTCCTTAGTTTCCTGTAGGTCTTAGAAGGCCTTTGTTTTTCATCCTCGTGGATCACACTCTGGAAGTACTCACATGTG